GCCGCCGCAGCCGCCGCAGCCGCCATGGCCTCGCCGGCCGCCAGCCCCGACTCGTCGTGCCACGAGGGCCCGGCCTCGGCGGCCTCGGCGCCCGCGGGGACCCCGACCTCGGACTCGGAGAACCTGAGCCCCGACGAGCTGGAGCTGCTGGCCAAGCTGGAGGAGCAGAACCGGTCAGAGAGAGAGAGCACGCCCTTGCTTTACTTTTTGGGGGGATTGGGCTGAAAATCCCCCCATCTCACTTTTTGGGGGGGGGGGAATAATTCTGGTTTTGGGGGGGATAGCTCCGTTTCCCGGGGCTCTTTTGGGGGAATCTCTCTCCTCCTTTGGGGTGGGTTTTGTGGGAATACTTCAGGGTTCGGGGGCTGTTTTGGGGAACGTCTCCGTTTTTGGGGCTGTTTTGAGGGAATATCTCCATTTTGGGGGCTACTGTGAGGGAACATCTTCATCTTTAGGGCTATTTTGGGAGAATATCTGCATTTTTGGGGCTGTTTGGGGGGAATATATCTCCATTCTAGGGTGGAATATCTTCATTCTGCAGGGGAATATCTCCATTTTTGGTGGAATATCTCCCATTTTTGGTGGAATATCTCCCATTTTTGGTGGAATATCTCCCATTTTTGGTGGACTATCTCAATTTCTGAGGAAATATTTCCATTTCTGGGGCCATGTTGAGGCAACATCTCTCTGTTCTGGGGCTGTTTTGAGGCAATATCTCCATTTTTGGGCCCGTTTTGAGGCAATATCTCCGTTTTGGGGCCTGTTTTGAGGCAATATCTCATTTTTGTGGGCTGTTTTGAGGCAGTATCTCTGTTTCTGGGCCCGTTTCGAGGCAATATCTCTTTTTTTGGGCTGTTTTGAGGCAGTATCTCTGTTTCTAGGTCTGTTTTGAGGCAGTATCTCTGTTTCTGGGCCCGTTTTGAGGCAATATCTCTTTTTTGTGGGCTGTTTTGAGGCAGTATCTCCATTTCTGAGCCCGTTTTGAGGCAGTCTCTCCATTTCTGAGCCAGTTTTGAGGCAGTCTCTCCATTTCTGGCCCTGTTTTGAGGCAGTATCTCCGTTTCTGGCCCCGTTTTGAGGCAATATCTCCATTTCTGGGCCCATTTTGAGGCAATATCTCCATTTCTGGCCCCAATTTGAGGCAGTATCTCCGTTTCTGAGCCAGTTTTGAGGCAGTATCTCCCTTTCTGGCCCCGTTTTGAGGCAGTCTCTCCGTTTCTGAGCCAGTTTTGAGTCAGTCTCTCTCTCTGTTTGGGGCTGCCCCGTCCCCCAGGCTGCTGGAGGCCGACTCCAAGTCGATGCGCTCCATGAACGGGTCCCGCCGGAACAGCGGCTCCTCGCTGGTCTCCAGCTCCTCGGCCTCCTCCAACCTGAGCCACCTGGAGGAGGACACCTGGATCCTCTGGGGCCGCATCGTCAATGAGTGGGACGAGTGGAGGAAGAAGAAGGAGAAGCTGCTCAAGGTGCCCGCGCTGGGGGACGTGGGCTGGGCTGGGGTTACCCAAAGGGGACTGTTTTGGGGTGGGGTTACACAAAGGGGACTGTTTTGGGGTGGGGTTACACAAAGGGGACTGTTTTGGGGTGGGGTTACACAAAGGGACGTGGTTTGGGGGGGATTTATCCAAAGGGACCTGGGTTGGGGTGGAGTTACACAAAGGGACCTGTGTGGGGTGGTTTGTGCAGCAGGACCTGTGTGGGGTGGTTTGTGTAGTGGGACGTGGTTGGGGGTGGTTTGGGGTGGGTTTGTGCAGTGGGACGTGGTTGGGGGTGGTTTGGGGTGGGTTTATCCAAAGGGATGTGGTTTGGGGTGGGTTTGTGCAGTGGGCCCTGTGTGGGGTGGGGTTACATAAAGGGACATGGTCTGGGGTGGATTTACACAAAGGGACATGGTCTGGGGTGGATTTGTCCAAGGGGATGTGGTTTGGGGTGGATTTACGCAAAGGGACGTGGTTTGGGGTGGATTTACGCAAAGGGACCTGTGTGGGGTGGTTTGTGCAGTCTGACCAGAGTTGAGGTGGGTTTGTGCAGCAGGACCTGTGGGCTGGTTTGTGCAGTGGGATGTGGGATGGGGTGGGTTTGTGCAGTGTGACCTGTGGGGTGGTTTGTACAGTGGGATGTGGGATGGGGTGGGTTTATCCAGCAGGACCTGTGGGATGGGGTGGGTTTTTTATCCAGCAGGACCTGTGTGGGGTGGGTTTGTGCAGCGGGACCCATGGGCTGGTTTGTGCAGTGGGATGTGGGATCCAGCAGGACCTGTGGGGTGGGTTTATCCACCAGGACCTGTGTGGGGTGGGCTGTGCATTGGGTTGTGGGATGGGGTGGGTTTATCCTGTGTGGGGCGAGCTGTGCAGTGGGATGTGGGATGGGGTGGGTTTATCCTGCGTGGGGTGGGCTGTGCAGTGGGATGTGGGATGGGGTGGGTTTATCCTGTGTGGGGTGGGTTTATCCAGCAGGACCTGCGTGGGGTGGTTCGTGCAGCGGGTCCCACGGGCTGGGCTGTGTGTCCCATCCATCCCCGTGTCCCCCCGTGTGTCCCCTCCCGCCGTGTGTCAGGAGCTGATCCGCAAGGGCATCCCGCACCACTTCCGAGCCATCGTGTGGCAGCTGCTGAGCAGCGCCACGGAGCTGCCCCTCAAGCAGCAGTACTCGGAGCTGCTCAAGATGTCCTCGCCCTGCGAGAAGCTCATCCGCAGGGACATCGCCCGCACCTACCCCGAGCACGAGTTCTTCAAGGGCCAGGACAGCCTGGGCCAGGAGGTGCTCTTCAACGTCATGAAGGTGAGGCCAACGGGGGGCCTGCAGGGGGTTTGGTGCCACCCCAGAACTCAGGGGTTTGGTTCCACCTCAAAATTGAGGGGTTTGGT